TGCAACTCACTGTAAACTCGACCTAATTCTTGACCCAAGCCACGTATCCATCGTGGCACTTATAAGTATATAACGTGACCATTTCAACTACTAACAAAAAGTTTGGAATCAGACTGCATATTGGTACAAGTATAATATAATATATTTCCAAAAGTAAATATATAACAAAATACAGTTGGGTGACACTATCTTAATAATTTGTCTATACTAGATTTAAATAGCATAATGTTAATTTAAAAAATAAAAGAGATCATATTCTGTGGCATAAAAAAGTCTTGGTGCGTGTGCCATACACGAGCATGAATAAATATATCACACAAATATGTAGTGTGTAAAGTAAAGCTACTAAATTGCTTTATAAAAGTACATATTATGTGCCCATTTTAGAATTGAAATTAGAGATAGGTGCTGTCTAAAAGGTTATGCTTTATATGTGTTGTCTTGATTTTGAATCTACTTCCACTATTCAATCTTTTACAACAAATATTTTTCAATAGTTTATGTTTTAATTGCTAGAGGGATTTACGCAGTATGCACAAAATGCTCATTTTAGTGCTCATTCAAAAGACAAAAAAATTGTGACAAAAATTGTAGCGGTTGCAGATTATCCTGAGTTTCAAAAATAGAATTCTTTTGACGTGACCAATAGTCATGCACAAATATGTGTTTTATAGATGCTTTCGATGGAGACATCAATTCTATAGTTAAAGATTAATATCTTCTTAATATCATTAATTAATATATGGATATCAATGACCACGGCACTACCATATATTAGATATGTATAATTTATATTGCCTGCCTTTTAATTTCCACTAACGGTCTCCGCCAAAAACATTATAATCTTCTCTATATATTACTCTATGTTTTAGCACCTTGGACGATCAATGTCATGTCACAGTAAACTTTTGTACGTATCCACCAATACTAAACGACTTAATCATTGTTACTAAACTCTTAATTAATCACTTGTTCTTAGTCTTGTTTATATTAATGGTATTAGTGGAGTTAATGGAATACGTACTTCACATATTCTTTTTTCATTTCCAATTTTTAATTTTTTTGAACATTAATTATCTCATCTCATCTCATCATGGGGAGGAGTGCACAAGTACTCTATATTTCTGAGACGTGGACTAGGAGCCCAGACGGAGATGGACTTTGCTATGATATTATGTAAAAATATGATATTTGGACCTAACTCAACCTAAAAGTTAGATCACGAGAGAAGAACCGCCCAAATCCATATAACCAGACCATCAATCCATTTTTCAACCAATATGAGAATTTTACCAACTCTAACAATATGATCATGATACTAATAAATATAAATATGCGACCAATCTCAACTATATTCACAAAAAGTTTGAAATTAGATTGCATATTCTTGCTATTTGTTTAATCTTCCAAAAAATTAATTTGAAAAGCAATACAGTTGGTTGACACTATCTTTCTCCATCTTTTTTTTTTTTTTTAACTCAAAAGTTGTCCATGTAAGATATAAATTAGCATATTTGTGGCATAAATTAGGCTTTGTGCGTGTGCTATACACAAGCACGAATTATTATATAATACATAGTGTAAAGCTAATTAGTCGTGTCACGGAAGTACATATAATTATAATATGACCATTAATCACAATTAATAAAATTAGTGAGTGCAAAAGACACATATATACTGCCTAATTATAAGTGCTGATCGGATCCAGTTTGTTGGCCGCGGGTTTACAGAATCCATCTGTTGCTTAAATTTTATATATACTTTTAAAAATATTTATAAATATTTAACTATGAACCAAGTTATTATAATATATTAGCATTAACAGATAAGTATTGAAAACACCTCTAAACTTGGAGCAAATTATTAGTTATATTCCCGAACTATCGATACCTTAAAGCCACCCATCTACTTGACTAACTAAATTTAGGTACATCTCTGATATGTAACATGACATAGAAAGTGCTCTCTGACTCTTGTAGGAGCATGCGACTCTTAATAAAAAATCGAGAGAAATATTGAAAGTACCCCTAAAATTGGCGAGAATTAGGGGTATATTTCACTCATTGAAAGATTGAGTGTGTATTTAAGTTCAGTTAGTCAAGTAAAGGGTGTTTTTAAGGTTGTCGATAGTTCAAAGATGAAACTACTAATTCACGTCAAGTTTAGGGGTGTTCTCAATATTTTTTCTCTAACTTTAAATAGTTATAAAAACTCACAAATTTTAAATTTTGAATCTGATTCTATATGTTATATATGTTAATTTCGACCCATAAATATCTAACTCGTCTAACATATTGAGCAGATTAATTCATAGGGTAAAGTATCTATTTCGGGCTAAATGGATTATGGATGTTAGGTGCCATGAAAGTATTAATCCAGAAAGTTGGATCAATTTGAGCTTAATTAGTATGACCTCACATCAACCATTCAGTGTTTTGTCAAGGGAAAAATGAATTCCTACATTGATAGCCGAAAAGGATTTTAAGGCTTCTTTCAAATATTAGATTTACGTAATAAATAAGAGATACTAAAGATCCGAGTCATAATTTTTTTTAATTCTAACACAAGGTACTTGTACTTTTTTAGATCGAAAAAACTTCTTAGATCTAATAGAATGCCTTCATTAAGAGGAGTCCCTGGTTTTTATACAGAAGCTTCACAATGGTTTGGTCCTAAGGATTCACATTTCAATATTATTTTGAGAATTAGGAGCAATGTATAAAGACAAACTTCCACATGAAAAAAAGTTCGATTTTCTTTATGAGAAAGAAAAATACAAATATTGAAATAACTTTCATTTAATTAAGCTTTAATCTTATATTAATAGCCAAAAAGAAAAATAGGCTATTAAAGATACTATTAAATTATTAATGGTGTGAGTTTTTTTATAAAAAAACCGCACGAGCATGACCTAATTTTACCAATAAGAACTGATCGTTTTAACTAATTACCAATAACTTCTTGCATTCTTATAAATTTTCAACCAATCATATGTAAGCAATTTTTGAACTTGACCAATGATCCACCCATACCTTAGATAGACATCAGTTTGTTCCTAATGATATCTTCTTCTAATTATTAATTATTATACATAGAAACCAGTCAGCACCATTTGATGTATAATTAATTTATTTATAAATCAGTCATTATTCCATGGTCTGATATCTTTTCCCACTAATAATGGTCACCATCAAAACTATCTCATCTTTTGTGTAGTATATTTTAGGCTGAATTCATCGTTGGTCTTTTAAACTTGACATCAATTTTCAGTTAGATAAATTAATATATCTATATTTATTTTACACCTCATATCATGTCTCGCTATGTCATTTTGATACTTTTTGATGACATCACATAGTGAGTGTAATACACTGAATACTAGCGCATGAGACTAATTTAATCATTTTTATTTTACTTTCTTTCTTTTTCTTCCCCATTTTTCAGTCACCATCTCTCAAAAACTTGAACTCCGAAATAGGTTTGATGATGCTACAAACAATAAAAAGGAATTTCAACATAAAGATATTTCACAAAAAAAAAAACAAATTTCAACTCATTAGAAGGCCCACGATTCATGATGTCGTAAAGAAAAAGAGCAGCGGAAAGTCATGGATTTGAATTTCAATCGAGCAGTAAGTGTGTGTTTGTTATTCTATTCGAGATAGAACAGTCGTCAAACTATGCCGAATTCGATGACTAATACGTTCTAAAATTTGTTAGCACTTTTTCCTCTTAAATCACAAATCTTGAAGAAGACGATGGGTGGGGTGGGAGAGGGGTGGAGAAGACGATGTGGGTGGGCAAGAATTTGGGGTTAGGGTGGGTAGAGGTGGAGAAGACGTTGTGTGGGTGGGGAAGAGCGGAGAAGATGATCTGGGTGAAGTTGGGTTATTTTTATTCCATATGTCATTTAGTCATTGGTCACTTCTTTTTTCTACTAAAAAATTATAATTTAAAAATTATTTTTAATATATATGTCACGTATTTTTATTTAATTTACCACTTTGTCACGTCATCGGTGAATGTGTTACACGCAACTTTCATATTTGATTGATTGTTAAAAAAATGTAAAAATGATATAGCGGGTCATGACATGAGGCGTTTAAAATAAACAAAGTTTAGTTAAGATGTCTAAGTGAAAATTCATGTCAATTTTAGGAGGCTATCGATAGATTTATCTCATTAATCTTTATAGATAGGAGGATCACAATGAGCCAGAACATAGGCAGGGCAGGACAAAAACTTAACGGAGTGAGATGGAGCAAACAATTATAATGCAGAAATATATGAGAAAATACTAAACAAGGGACAGTTAAAATTTTAGACGCAACGCTATACCTAGAGTCTTATTTGTTTTAATATAATCTCAGATTGAAATCCTACACAGAACCTCCATAGGGAAGGGCGTCTAGCCAGATCGAGTATCAAATGATAGAACTAGAGTCGGGAGCCACATAAATAGGCATGATAGATGATCAAGCTATTTTGTATATGATGATTAGGGGTGTATACATTTCGAGATTGTTTTCAAATATTAAATCCATTCAAAGGTATCAAGTTTTTATATTTACAAGTCAAACCACATCAATAATAGTTGGCTTGTTCAACTTTGGATTTTTTTTTAATAATAATAATTATGGTCCGATGTGAATCATCTCACAGTTGTGGGACAATCAAATTTAATTATGTCAAAACTTATCTAACTCTTCAACAATCAATAATACAAAACTATAAGAAAATCGGTGAAACTACTATATAAATATACTATAACGTATTAACAAATCTACTATACATCCACGATTAAAAAAAAAAACTTAAATGCAAATATGAAGTAATTAAGGTAGGTGAAACTAATTGACAACATTTAATGGAAGAAAATCATGCTATATATTAGGATAACAAATTTGCATTAGATCAAAATTACAAATCATTAATTTTATATACTAATGAATCCTTCCTAATAACAACAAATACAATTTCATTTCTTCTTCTTCTTCAACAACATTTTTTGCAATTAAAAAAGTGATAATGTTTTTAAGAAGGGATCAACAAACAAGTGCTATTATACTTTTGGGTCCTATGATTTTTATTATAAGTATTATGAAGAACAACAAGGCACTCAATTTGGTGATGAAATTTGGGTTTGATGAGACCCCAAACAACATGAAAAGTTGAAGATAGATGCACGCGTATAAGCAAAGGCAATCCTTTGCCAGATTGAAGCATATCTTGCATAACTCTTCCTGCCCCATACAATGCCTTGTCCTTTGTCCCTACATTTAGCTTGAAGTATGTTGGCCCATAGCTCCCTGCATAAAGCTCTTCTCCCTAACAAACATGATAATTGTTAAGTTCGCGGGGTATTCTATTTGGACATCGCTATTTAATATGTATTTACCTAAAGTTTTTGCATGTCTATTTTACTTCGCAACAATATCAAATATATGTGATGTCAGAAGTTACATATGGTTGAAATTCAAATAAAAATGACAAGTTTATGAAAAATAGATGAACTTCAACAATATCACATGTTGAAGAAGTTGTTCCAAGTTGGGTAAACTTATAAAATTTTACATATTATGGATATGATGACTTAAATGGTGGATCCAAAATTGGGTATCTGTCCATTTTGTCCACCCTCTCCCCTTTGATTTTTAGGATATGCATTGAATAAAGAAATACTAAGTTTTATTGATTGTCGTTGTATAAGATCTAAGATTTGAAATTTATGAATTTGTATAATAACCTTTAGGTTTATATACAATTATTAACTTTGTTCAAAAATGACAGCCAAATATTTTTATAAGTTTTAACGAATTTTTAAATAGATATTACATGATATAAGCAAAAGTTACTGAATTCACATGAATCTATAATAAGGTTACACTATAGATCAACCACTGGTAGCTAATGTAAAATGAGTGTTGGACTAAATCAACCATAATTAGCCCAAATAAACCATATGACACTTTACGTTGAAAAATAGAAAAAACAAGGACAAAGTCATGATTCCAAATGTACAATATAATTTTCAGTCAATCTACAAAAAAATATTTTTTAACAGCTCAATTAGAATTAAAAACGTAACGTAAAGACCAAACAAACATGAAATTGTTGATCTGAATCCGATTCATTTCACTTGGATCTATTTTTTATGAGTAATTAGTTAGATTATAGAAGTTGCAAAGACCTAATAATAATAAGTCAACGTATTATAAAGAAGACATAACAAATCAACAACAATAACATATTCAGTGTAATTCAACAAATGGGGTATAAAAAAAGTAGATTGTACTAGGCTTTACTCCCCTACTTTTGAAAGTAGAAAGATTGTTTTTCGAAAAAGAAAATATCATATAAATGGAAATTAAAATGTGCAAGTGAGAAAAACTTACTTGTGCTAATATGAAAGGGACCCTTCCAAAATACATTTCCATGGTAGGGGGATTAATATAAAGCCCAAAGAGCTTAGATTTATTATCAATTTGTAAGATCATTGAACTATTGCATGTTAGCATTTTTGTGTTCACACCAGTTCCATCTACTCCTTCTCTTAATCCAAATTCACGAACACCTGCAATCTACAATTATTTCGTACATTTAAATTAATATAGTATACAATTACAATACAATAAAATTATTTTTTTAAAAAAAAAATAGGTATCAAGCTTCAACCACCACAAATTATTATGTAGACTCAACAAGTTGGGCCGACTTTAAACAGGCACTCTTCCAAAATGCAACAGAGGTCATTAGCATCGGGATCTATCGGAAATATCTTCATCGAAACATTACAATACAATAAAATTATTATTATTATTTTAAATAAATATATCAAGCTTCAACCACCACAAATCATTATGTAGATTCGATAACTTGGGCCAACTTTAAACATGCACTCCTCCAAAATGCAACAGCGGTCATTAGCATCAGGGGTCTATCGGAAATATCTTCATCGAAAAATTACAATAAACATATAAGGTAAAAAAATTTATTTTTTTTTGTATATATATATATGTGTGTGTCTGTTTGGCCATAGGATTTGAGACCTCAATTTGAAATCAAAACCTGTTTTATTAAAGCTGCACACTAGTTATTTATTTTATTTTGTATCTTATATAATTAAAAAAGTAGCAGACATACATGCCAAACTTGTTTCAATGTTCATGATCAATTTCATGTTTAAATCTGTACTAAAAGTATAATTCTTTCCTTCATCAATCATTATGTAGCACCATGATTATGATTCTAGCATTATAGTGTTAATGCCATTACCAAAAGTAAAAAAGAATAATTGAAATAAATACATGCCAAACTTATTTCAATGTTCATGATCAATTTCATGTTTAAAGCTGTACTAAAAGTATAATTCTTCCCTTAATCAATCATTATGTAGCAACATGATTATGTATTCTAGCATTATAGTGTTAATGCCATTACCAAAAGTAAAAAAGAATAATTGAAATAATGATGAGTGGTAAATGAGGTTGAATTCCACAATTATATTGAGTAATAAGGATATTTTATTTGAAAAAAAAATGCAATTTAAATTTGAAATTTATGTGTTTATACTATTTAATAAAGAGAAAATACATAATTACCCTCAATAAAGGAAGACTTGTTTTTAAAAAATAAACTTCAATTTTGTAGGGGTCCTATTACCTCCTTATTCTTATTTAGAATGAATTTATTTTCCCATTAAATGCCTACGTGGCATGTAGAGTGTAGTTCAGAGAGTGAGCTGAACCAAAAAGTAAATAAATATTTATTTTAGCATTTATTTTATTAGAAATATTAAAAAAATTTCTTTTTATTTATTTATTTTATTACACTTTCTCAATTCTTTATTTTTGTTATCTTCTTGCCCAAATTTCAAAAGAACCAACTAACTCTTCTCTATCTTCTTCAACTTAGAAGACCCATTTTCTTCACTCATTTTTTTCCTTGTCTTCTGCTTCTCTTTGTTCTTTTTTCTTCTTTTGCCCTTATTTTTTTCCAAAATAATAATAATTGTAAACCTCCTTGTTAACATTGTTCCTTTTTTAAAATAATAAAAATAAATTGTTATGTAGTTCTTTAGCATGTATAGGGAAAATGCATAACTACCCCCAACTTATGCCCAAAATCTATAATACACACCTAACCTTTACTAAGATCCTATTACCCTCCAAAACTTATTTTTTGAGGCCGAGTCCGTGACTTCACCTAAGTTAGGCGCATGGGTGCAGTTTTTAGACAGTACTGACCAATAAAAATTGGCCACGTGTTAAAATAAACTTGAAAAAAATGAATATTAACTCAATTGTCTTCTTCTTTATCATTGTTCTCCATCTTTGGAAAAAGAAACCACCATTATCATTCAACTCCTTGCTTCGAAAAGGTAAAGTAAATTTTTAATATATTCTTTATATTTACACCTTTTTATGTCGATTATTAGTTCTGAATTTAAATTTCTTTCACAATTTTTATGTATAAATGTTGGGATTATGACAAAATCCGAGTTGAATAAGTTGTGTATGGATGAGAATGATTCAATGATCAATGCAGAAGTGCGATGCAAGCATGGAATCTTATTGCAAATGCAAACGTCTTGGTCAGATCGCAATTTCGGAAGACGATTTTGGTCTTGTCCTCACTATGAGGCCACAAACTGTAATTTTTTAGATGGAAAGACAAGGAGAGAGTCGATGAACACAAAGTACCAAAATTCAACATAAAAAATAAATTATGAGTCGGAAAATCAAATTTCTAAAATCAATTTTTGAAGATAATATTCTTTCCCTTGTTCCTTTCTCTTCCTTTTTGGTAAAGTTAACTTGAAAACGTAAAGTGATAACTTTTAAAATTTTGGGAAGTGTAAAGCTATTTTTGAACTGATAGCTTACTTTTTAGAAAGTTGAAAAAGTCGAGCCTAGCGCGTGTTGAACAAAGCTTTCAACCTATCTGGTTTATATTGCCACGTAGGCCTAAAAGTAGTAAAAATTAATTAAAAAATAAATTCAAGGATAATAGGACATTAATAAAGATTAGGTGTGTCTCAAAATTTTGGACATAGGCTAGGGGGTACTTATGCATTTTCCCGCATGTAAATAAAGAAATTTCTTCGATTTGCGAGTATTATAGAATTCCATTATCTTCATCTTAATGGAGTTCCGCTGCATAATTGTTGTAATTTTGAAAAGGAAATGGTAGATTGGAGGTGATTATTAATTTTCAATTTATAATTTGTTAGTAATTTTATTTTTGATTTAACAATAATTTGATGATATTAATGATGGAATTGGTATTATAATAGTGACGTGATGAAGACTACTCCGAAGGATTGACGAAGAAGGTGGCTACGTAGAGAATTCCCGGTGATGAAGGACTAAAGAAAAGCAGAGAAGGGTAAGGAAGAAAGAAGAAGAAAGAGAAAAAGAAAAAGAAAATGAAGTTAATAAAATAAGAAAAAACAAAAATGAAAACAAAGATTAAAAATTAAAATTAATACGTGGCAGTTAATAACTGGTGCGTGATTACACTTATTTTCTTGCAATGGAGGGTGGCTGAAAAATAAGATATTTACAACACTTTAAAATTGCTTAAGGGGGGGGACTAAGACCCCCGCAAACTTGAAATGTCTTTTTAAAAAACAAGTCTTACTTTAATGGGATAATTATATATTTTCTCTTTAATAAAATAGAACTTCAACTTCAAATTAAAATTTTGTTTGAAATCTCAAAATTAATAAAATAGAATTTATTTTTAAAAAGACTAATGTTCAACGAAAAAATTATAGTATTATATGAGAGAATTATATTTAAAAAATAATTAAATACTACTATTATTTATGTATTGGGATTTGGGCCATTGGATCTTTTATAAAAATATGTGTATTAAAAGTTTACAATAACATATAAACGCACCCTTTATTTATGAAAGCTCTTAGAATATTCTGATATTTTATTTATGAAAGCTCTTAGAATATTCTGATATTTTATTTATGAACAATAGTTTGCTCATTTGATATAACACTGTATAATAGTTAGAGAAGTTTGATAATTTTCACAAGCTACAGAATTTTTAAATATATAAAAACATATATAACTTTGTAAACCAAATCAATAATTACAAACTCATGTTCAAACGTCTATAATCTTTTTAGTCAAGCGGGTAAAAGAGATTTAGCTCCCTACTTATAGTTGTTGATATATACTCAGTATATACTATATACATTATTCGTTATATTATGAATATATAAACTATAATTTATGAAAATGCAATGATTTAAGTTATATTATTGTTATGAGTTTTGTTGGACGTATGTATAAAGTAACTAGATAACGTATTTTATCATATTCTCTAAAATTTCCTACTATTTAAAAAGATTACAAAAATCTCCTATTCATGAATACATCATTTTGCCTAATGTATCGATTAAAACATTGAATGATGTATCGAAATCAAGACATAATGTATCGAGACGTTAAGGGATGTATTAGAAATCAAGACGCAGCGTTTTGAAATGTATTCGGATTCCACCAAATTTAAGGAATTTTGTAATTAGAAAAGAGTAGAAATATAATGTTATTAGTTTTTTAATAATAGAGATTTATGTAAAATTCCCTCAAGAGAATCCAGTATTATCTGTGGCCTAGTGCCCCTCATATTGGGCCTCCTTAAAAGAGAGCCTAACATGAGTTTGGGCCTTCATGTCTTTTCGAACTTAATCTTTATAAAATGGGCCTTCATTCAACAAGCATTTTGACCTTAGGTCTTTTCAATGCCTTTACAAGAAATCTTACGTCTTTTTCACTTTTTAAATAAAAAGGATCAAAAGATAATGGTAGTAATAAAAACAAATTTGGTAGCTACGTTTTTAGAATTTTCATTAAAATGTTTCAAAAAATAAAAATGCACTGCTTGAGATTTGAAATTGAAACTTAAGTATAGACAGCTTCTACACTTATATATAAAGGATCAGATTTTTTTATCGAGGAGATTCGGACAAACACCCTCACGACCCTAGATCCGCCTCGAATCGAATAATTAAAAAATTTAAAAATAAGAAGGTAAGAGTGTTACCTCAATAGAAACCTTAGGTGAAGGAGGCTTTGTGGCAATGTAGAAAACAACCAAAGCTACTATCATACTCACAATAAGCCTCCATGTTACTTGCACAACAATCCACGATGTCGAATCCGAATATCCCAACGAAAAAAACCTCATCCAATTTCCTTTCCCATAATAATCATCGTTATCGTCATCGTCCTCATCATCGTCATCGTTAACACGAACACTACTACCATTTTTCCCATGATTAACCAACAAAATTGCACCACAACGCTTCTCATCGATCCCCGTCCCGTGGCTCTGAAGAGAGTCACATGAAATCTTCTTCTCGTGATGCGAAAAGGAGTGGTTAGATCCACGGGACGAGGAGTATCGAGAGAGAGCTAACGGACCGGTTTCCGATCTAGGCAACGGCGAATCATGACATCCGGAGGAATATTCGTTAATATTATTATTATTGGTGTTGGTGTTGATGTTGTTATGACGAGATAATTCTCCGCTATTTGCATGTGAGAGAGTTGATGGACTTTGAACGAAGTAAAGTGGATATGGAGAATTTCGAAACAAAGCTTCCTCTTCTGAATCCATTCTATAGTTAGCCATTGTGAGATGAAATTTGGGGGAAAAAAGAAGAAGAGAGGAAAATGTGATTTTTTCGCAAGTGTGTTTGGAGGGTATTTTAAAACAAAAAAGGACGTCGCTTTTGATGTTGGCTCAGCTTTAGTGACTTGTTCCATCATTACTCTGACACTCTGAGCCTGCACTCTGTGCCTTATCACAGCTAAAGCGGTACTCTCTGTTTTTATATGAATTAGTTCGACAACACGAAAGTTAAGATAGAAAAAAGATTGGATTGAAATTTGGTGGTTTAAAATAATTAAGTGATAGAATTGAGGGAATTATAAATTATTTTATTAAGCATAAATTAAATATTTTAGGGTTAAATTATTACAATGCGACATTTTTTTTAAATTTGATAAAAATAAAAAAGTGAATCATATAAACCACAACAAAAGAAGTATTGTTTTTTTAACCGATAAATCCTTTCACTTTCTCAATCTTTTTTGGTTTTAACATTACAAGTTTGACTGAGTAATGCTTGTCAAGATCATAATTGTGTGTTACTACATTAATGAAATAACAAATATAAGTTCAACCGAAAAAGGTAGTAAAGTTTATTAAAGTTCTAAAATTAAAAAAAAAGTTTGTTTGTCATATGTTTAGATACTAATATTTACTGTTTATTTATCAAACATCAAAAAAAAAAGGAAGAAACTAAATATACTTATTCTTTGAGAGATGCATTGAAATATCCATAAATCTTTAGTTTCATTTTGATAGCCTTAAAATACTTCTTTATTTGACTAATTGAATTTAAATACACATTCGATTTTATAACATGAGTGAAATGTGTCCTCAAATTCTCGTCAAATTTAGAAGTGTTTTCAATATTTTTCTCAATTTTTTATGAAGAGTCACATATTTCTATAAGAGTTTGAGACCATTTTTATTATGCCGTATCACGGGGTGTATCTAAGTTTCGTGAGTTGAGTAGAGAGATACTTTTAGGCTATTAATAATTTGGAAACATAATGAAAAATTTACTTTAAATCATGAGTGTTTTCAATTTTATTCTTATTATTTGTTTTACAAACATAGACAGGTCCTTATATTATACAAAGAAAATATCATAAGTTGCAATAGTTTCTATTTCAGTGGAATACATATATAAATGCATATATACCATATATTGATCCCACTTATTATAATTAATTCTTGAAATACGATAAATATTTTGAAACGAAGATAATAATAGCAATGACAAAATTAAAATAATCAAATTTCAACTTTTTATTCGAACTATCGGTAGAAGCTTTGATTGTGCTATCTATGATTCCATTGTATAATATAATTGATATTTCCCGTCCGCATTTTTTTATTCATTTATTAGAACAAGATATCAATGTTTTCTTTCTTCAAAAATTCAAAAGTAAATAATTTTTTTTTGTGAAAAATAAACTAATCCTTTTTGTAATTAAGATTATCCTACGCCACCTTCATAATTTGAAGGTAGAATTGATTTTATAAGCTATTAATAAAATTTTGATTTTCTTTTCTGATTTTCATTTTCATATATAAAATGATCCTTTTTCTTTATCATTTTTTCTAAGTGGCTAATTTTTCTTTTTTAATTCCTCTGCTTAATTGTGTTTTTAAAGCTGGTAATAATCTCATTGTTACGATTTACGATGCTTTTTCCGAAAATTATGGAAGGGCCGGAGTCATAATTAAATTGATTTAATTAACCTCTACTGCCTATTTTATAGACTATACTATTTTATTATGCTTTACACCGAATTGTTTCCCCTTTTTATGTCCGAGAGAATCATGACAAATTAAGCACGCTTTTTAAGCATAGATCTAGCGGTATTTTTAAAGAATTTTAATAGCTCAATTTGCCAACTAATTATTTTTAGCGAACGATTTTTTTGCAATAAATTTTAAAGTGATGAAAAAATAAATTACAATCACAACTAAATATAAAGTAACATAATTTTACTGATAAAAATTGTGGATACAAATCTGTTTATTCCTTACTTCTTTTTTCCTATAACTTTTTCGATATTCAAGAGTCGTGTGCATTGCTTCAGTTTTATGTATTATCGGTCTGATTTATCCATTTTTTATTTTTAAATATGTTAAACGAATAACCAAATCAAAAAGATATTTTTTATCGATTTTCAATTTAACCAAAAAAGAATATACTTATAAAATATATAACTTCTCTAATAAATTTGACACAACATAATAATGCAACTTAACAAATACTCATAAAATAGAAACAATATTGACAAACATAAAAAGAACTATGCAAGTGCAATACAAAGAAAAATTAAGAGGAATAGGGTTGTTACTTTAGATTTTGACGTTTTGCATAATGTAAAGTTGTGAACTCAAAGTCACTGTGAAGTGTGAATTAAAGACTAAATAACAAAAATAGTAACTAGTAAGGATTATATATTATGTACAAATAAAAGTAGTTAATAACAAGTCTTAATGGATTATCGATTTATCCAATAATCAATATTAAAAGTCAATACCTAACTGATAACCCGATAATTTTTTTTACAAAACCACTAAAAAACCGTGAACCCAATAACAATATATCAATAACACTTTTTCCGATTTCGTTTATCGGTCAGTTCGATTTTTGCACACCCTCAATCATACTGACGTAATTTCTCAAACTATGATCATTTCCTTTTTAATGAAAAAAACATGTGGATATTCCTGGAGTATTTTATTATCAATAAGAGTCAAACATATCTTGATCTCTTTATGAATATCTCAAGAGTTTACTGGATATACAAGATGCCTTGTTAAGGGGAGTTGTTAGAATGATAAGCATTCCTCAGTCACCAAGGGAGCAAAAAAAGTGCGAGCCCCAAAGGATGAGTAAAAAAATAATCTCTATCTCATTTTTTATGACTTATTTTTATTTTTAGTCCGTTTTTTAAAATGATACATTTCTATATCAAGTGACAATTCAACTTTGAAATATTCATTTTACCCCTACAGAAATGATTTATAGCCACAAAATATTTATTACTTATTTTAGACCAGAAGTTTTAAAAGTTTTTTTTCTTTTCTTAAATTTCGTGTCAGGTTAAACTAACTCACACAAAATAGAACAAAATGATAAATAATAAGAATGTCCTTGTTTCTTATCTTTTTTTTTGTTTCAATTTATTACTTTATCTATTCCATATGAACTGAATTCATCAAACAATGCATACTTATTAGGAAAAATATTCAAAGACGTAATTTGAACCATATTTTTCACTATTGTCGTTTGTGAATTCATAAATGTAACTTTCTAAACTATTAAATTTATGTCCTATAAAACATCAAATGTCACAAAAGGACAATTATGAAAACAAATTCAAACATCCATCTTAAATTTTAAATAATTTAATTATTTTAAATAAAAAATCACAAAAATTGAGTTAATATAGAATAGATAAGTAATTTTATTCTCTATGTCTCATTGAGCCCCAACATTCACGTCTTTCATAAAATCTTTTCAAATCAGTCGGTCAAACTTTTAAGATGCCAGGCAACTGTTTTTTTTAAAAAAAAAAATTTTAAAATTAGAAGTGCCAAATCGATGATCAAATTGAATAAGAATGGATCAAAAAATGGGATAAATAAAAACAGAATAAAATATTCAATATTTAACACATAGAAAATGAGTTAACCAAGGAATAATAGGGATTTGGATGGAATGACAAATTTAAAATGAATGACAAAAAGAAGAAGAACATTGGAATCTCTTATTTTCTTGTTTTTGGGGCTTTTACTCAGTATTTGATGCTTGCAATGAAGCTTTGACTAGATTTAGACAACAAACTACAGGGTTTATTTTGGGGGTGACAGTCTCAATAACTTTTCTCTATACATATGTTGAGATAGCTTACAGTTTTCTTCAATGGAAGTTGTAGCTATAGAGAATTAGGAGATAAAAGGAATTGAAAGCAAAATAGTAATTGCATTCTCTATTATTCCATACTCTCACACTGTTTACATTGTATGTACCAATACGTATATATACAGATTACAATGAGATACTCTACTCACCTCTAACTAACGACTGACACAATTAACTAACTAACTACTAACTAATATCTTGACTGACAACTGGCTTCACACTCCTCTCAAGCTTAGTCGTATGAAACAGGTTGAATACTCCAAACTTGGATAGTAAAAAATCATGTTGTGTGTGTCCAAGGCCTTTTGTCAAGATGTCTGCCAATTGGTGATCTGTCCTTACATGTTCTGTATGTATCATTCTCTTTTGTATCTTTTCTCTAATAAAGTGGCAATCAATTTCAATGTGTTTCGTCCTTTCATGGTATATAGGATTTGCTGCTATTTGTATGGCTGCCTTACTATCATAAAACAATTTCACAGGCAGTGTTAGCTTCCAATTCAATTCTACAAACAACCCAATCAACCAAACTACCTCTGTTGTGGCACTTGCCATGCTTTTGTATTCAGCTTCTGCTGAACTTCTGGATATGGTACTTTGCTTCTTGCATTTCCAAAATATCAATGAATCACCTAGGTTAACCACAAAACCACTAACTGATTTCTTTGTCATGGGACAAGTAGCCCAATCTGCATTACAATAAATAGTCAGTGCATGTGAAACTTATGATGACAGGATGATTCCTAAGCCAGGGGCATTCTTCAGGTATCTAACCACCCTTAATGCAACTTTCATGTGAGACTTCTTAGGCAAATGCATGAATTGACTGAGGTTTTGTATTGCATAGGCAATATCAGGTCTTGTTATTGTAAGATAAAGTAACTTCCCAATTAGTTTCTGATAACTAGTAGGGTCTTTTAAGAGCTCATCATTCAATGTTTTTCCTGAGCTAGCAGCTATATTCTCATCATACAGCACACTAGTAAGTCTGTGATTTGCTTCTAGTGGAGTGTTGACAGGTTTTGAACCTGTGAGGCCTAGGTCTGAAATCAAATCAAGGCAAAACTTTCTTTGGCAGACTGAAATACCTTTGTTGCTTCTGGCAATTTCAAGACCAAGAAAGTACTTCATCTCCCCCAAGTCCTTGATCTT